TACGCTGCGGCCACCTGTTTTCTCCCTGACCTGTGATTAATGGCCACGCAGCCCCATCCATCACGCGCCAGCCAGCCAGCGCCTGGCTCTGCCGGGAGGCCATGGGGCCCGTGTTCATTTGTAAGTTGGTGGGTTGCTGACATGAGACAGATCCCCGCCTCAATTTGGCCCCAGATATGGCCCTGAAAACCCCAGAGAAAGGCAAGACCAGGATATGAACCCAAGGAGTTGGGGATGAGTAGGGGCTGAGGGGTGTGGAATGGCAGCTGCCCAGAGAGTAAGATCTTACTTAGAAAGCCCCAATTCCCCCCAAATTAATTACATAATCAAGACTGTTCCCTCCTGGGTTGCAGCGTTCCGCCCTGTCTTTCCCTTCCCTGCCATGTTCTATTCTTTCCACCCACCTATCCCCAAAAGCTCCTCCTTGCAGTGGGCCCAGCCTAGCCTGCCCCTCTCCTCAGTTTGGGCATCCCCCTGATCTACTGGCCTCCCGCCTTGCCTTCTCCCATTTCCATTACCAGCAAAACCTTCTATCCCTCAGCTCTGGCAGTCTCTCTCTGTTGCTCTCAACCAGGGCTTCTTAGCTGGGGGTGATTTTGCACACACCCCCTTCCCACCCAGGACACTTGCCAATTCTGCTTCTCAAAACTGGGTTGGAGGTGCTCCTGGAACGGAGTGGGTGAAGTCAGGGATGCTGTTCAACACTCCACTGTGCCCAGGACAGTCCCACCCCAGAGAACAATGCAAGAGAGTCAAGAGTACAAACAGAAATCCTCTAAAATCTCCCATGGCTCCCCAGTGCCCTACAGGTAAATTCCTATCTCCTCATCCAAAAAGCAGGCCCTGCATCATCCTGGCCCCCAGGCCCTCTCCAGCCAGTATCCCACCATACCTTCCTCAAGCCCCACCCAGAGGGGCAGTAATGCATACTGGTCAAGGGCCCAAGTACCTGGGTTTACATCCTAGCTGTGTGATTTTAGCTAAGTCACTAAACCTCCCAGTGCCTTCATTTCCTTATCTTTAAATGTCATAATGGCAGTACCTAGGGTTGAAATGCTTAAGGTAGAGCCTGGCGCATAGTAAAAACATATACAGTCGGGTTAGTTTACTTTATTCATAGGTTGGGTCATACTTCTGGGCTTTGCCATGTGCCAAAAAGCCCTTTTTCCTGAAAATTACTTTTTCTTAATTACAGTAATACTTTGGTTTGCAAGCATAATTCGTTCCGGAAACAAACTACTCATATTGCAAGACATCTTTCTCTTACCACGTTAAAATGTATTAGAAATGTTTGCTCATCCTGCGGAACACTCGCAAACCACGTTACTCGCAATCCAAGGCCTTATTCTCCTTCAAAGGTAAAGCCCTGAGTTCCCCCCTGTGGCCTAGTCCTGATCCCACTGTGCTGGGGTTGTCTGTGTCCAGTTCTAGGGTCTGTTAACATGGGAGTTTTTGGTCACCGAGTGCCTGCCCAGGTGAGAGTCAGATGGAGGTGGCCTCCCAGGAGAATGGGTGTCTGGTCCCCCTGGTGTGTGTGTGTGGGGGGGGGGTATTGGGGGCAGGGCCAACTTCACGGGCAGGTGACTCATGCACTCACACCAACCCCGTGCTCTCCAAGGAAGAACCCTGAGCTTCGTTTAATGCCCTGTTGTCACCATCTCGAAATTCCTAATCATTTTTGAACAAGAGACCATGCATTTTCATTTTGCCTTGGGCCCCGAAAATTCTGTAGCCCATCCCAGTTGGGGACTCTCATATGATTTGTAGGGCCTGAGCTTTCCAGAACTCAATAGGATTATTGAAGAGCTTTCCAAAGTTTGCTCCTTTTCTCTTACAGCATCAGAACTGGAAAAGCCCTGCATTTTGGTAACTCATCTCCAGCCCAATCAGATCCTGTTTTTATTTAATAGGCTGACATTTTGCTCATCATGCATTTTTATTTTTTGTTAAATTTATTGGAGTAACATTGGTTAATAACATTACACAAATTTCAGGTGTACAACATTATAATCCAACATCTGTACACTCTATGTGTGCTCACCTCCTGAGGTCTAGTCTCCGTCCATCACTATAAATTTTTGTTGGCATCAATTTTTATTTATAAAAATATTGCTTTAAAGTATTATCTTGAAGCATTTTTTTTAGGGTGAGGGGATCTTTAAATTTTGCTTATTCATCTCACTCTCGTTCTGGCCCCTCATCTGCCCAGGAAAAGTGACCAGGATCCTAACTCTCCATTTTATAGATGGTAAAACCCAAGGCTCAAAACAGTTATTCATCTGGAGAGGGCAAGCTGCATAGCTGACGCTGATGATATCAGAATTAAGAGACTGTGTATTTAACACTTGCCAGGGGTTAATGTGCATTATTTCAACAGCTTCCTTGAGGCCTGATCTCCACATGGCAGGGAGAGAGAATCTATTCAAATCAGAGTCTGGTCCAGTTTCTCCACTGCTGACAGCCATCTGTGGCTCCCACCACCCTACAGGTAAAATCTCAAGTCCACCCTGTGGCCCACAAGGCCCTGCACCATCTACAGAATTTGCAGGCCCAAATGCAAAACAAAATTTTGAGGCCCCCTTGTTGAAAAATAATTAGGAATTTCCAGACCACAACAGTAGATCATGAACCCAGGCACAGGTCCTTCTGGGAGCAGGGCCCCAGTGCAAATGCTGGAAGCTGCTGGCCCTGCATCCCTGCCCTCATTTCCTCCCAGGCTCCTCGGAGGAAAAAAAAAATGGGGCTGCCTTGGGCCTTTGCATTTGCTGTTCCTGCCTCCTTGAATAAGCCACCATACCCATACCTCTATTGGCTCCCTCTGTCACCTTCAGGTCCTCTTTGCAGGCAAGGAGGCCCTCTCTGACAACCCCTCTGTTTAAAATTGCACCTTCCTGGTTCTCCCCCCTGGTCTATTTTCTCCACAGCTGCTACCTTCTGAGCTGCCTGGGCTTGGGCTTGATTATTTATCTCTTGTCTGTCTCAAGTCTTCTCCACCAGGGTCGGGACTTTGTACATCCCCAACCCCAACCCCACAACCTGGCGCAGGGCCTGGCACACAGTAGGTGCTTAATAATGTGTTTTTCAGGAATGGCTCCCAGGAGGCCGGCTGCATGACCCCTGCCCTTCTGCAGAAGAGGAAACCGAGGCTCAGAGAGCACAGCTAGAGAGCCAAGGTTACAGAGCATGTCCCTGGCACGCGTCCAGGTCGCGCCATGACAGTGCCGGCGGTTTAGACGGGGGCCGCCGGGCCCCTTTCTTTGACAGGCAGGGAAACCGAGGCCCAGGCGGCCGCTAGGGCCACCCAGCCCGGTGGGGCGGCGGCCCGGCGCGCCAGGCGCTGCAGGCGGGGTCCGAAGCCCCGGGCGGGGGCGCGCCAGGCCCAAGGTCACCGCGCCGGCGGCCCGCGGGAGGCGGGCTGGGTGGGGATACGCAGGCCTCCCCGGCGGCGCGCACGGGGCCCGGGCGGCAGCGGCGGCAGCAGCAGTAGCAGCAGCAGCAGCAGGTGGAGCCGGAGCTTCAGCGCAGCCGAGGCCGCTTCCACTGCCGGCGTCGCCGCCATTAGACAATAGGAGCGGCGGCCGGGCGTGCGGGGAGGCGGGCGGCGGGAGAGGCGGGGAGGGGCGCTGGGCGCGCAGGAAGCGGGGCCCGGGGCGCGCCGGGGCCGGGCGCGCAGGGAGGG